CTAGTCATTGAAACTTGAAATATAGTAACTATAAACATTTAGAACCTCAAATATCCACTTCAATTTCAAAACTGTCTCTTATTTGTAAATTTGACCCTGGCCAATTCCAAACTAAACGGCCGAAACTGTGTACTGCCTCCATATACTTTGTAAACACTAGTTTAAGAGTAGCGTACTAATTTTTAAAACCGTTCTTTCATAAAGATAATGATGTCATCTAAGCGCATGAGCGGTCTTGCACTAAAGGTTTCAGACGGGTTTTCCGACATGGTTAAAAACATCAAAATCCAAATCCGATTTGAAACTTTTATATTTAACACTCGAAATTAATAAGCAAATTCCAATGTAACTCTATTATTGCCGATACCTGCAATCTTATTTATTCTTTTAATTATTGTTTTGTCGGGGCATTTGAGGAAAAAACCGCCGCCAGAATATGACAGGCAAATTCTTGCATGTAATTGTTTTGATCAAATTATGATGTTCCTTTGATTTACAATTAGGGATCCGCAATTGATGCGAATGGACCTTCATTTTTCAAATCGGATTTGGATTTTGATGTTTTTAACCATGTCGGAAAACCCGTCTGAAACCTTTAGTGCAAGACCGCTCATGCGCTTAGATGACATCATTATCTTTATGAAAGAACGGTTTTAAAAATTATTACGCTACTGTTAAACTGGTGTTTACAAAGTATATGTTAGTGTTCATCCGTGTTGTTCTACAGAAATTAGAAACTTCGACGGGAGCGATAGCGACCGGAGAATATTTCTTTTTTCTGTAGAACAGCTACGGATGAATACAAACATACTTAGTGACAAGCTTTATTTGCCTACATTAATATTAACTTTATTTCGTCACTATACCTGTCCATTTGCACAAACGCGGTTCTATGATACACTATTAAAAATAGAAGGCTGCTATGAACGGACTTTGATATATCACCTATGAAAATTTACACAAATTTTTTTTAAGAAATACAGTGCTTTCATTGGATGACATATACAGCTGGACACTAATATTATTTATTTCAATTTCTTAATTTGGTTCTACACATCCTCTTATGTCTTGTAAACATAACTTTTCTATTATAAAGAAAATCAATTAATCAGAAAAAAATGCGCCGTACGTTATCATTGGTATTTTGTGCGCCATATGTTATCATTTCCAGAAAATGCCCCGATGTAAATATTTTCAGCAGTTATTTTAGTCAGAATGGGCATGAATGCTTAGATGACGACATATTACAACTTTTTAAAGTCAGTGGTTTTAGTTAATATATATATGTATTTTCTCGATATATGCTTCCAGTTCTTCAATATATGGTACCAAAGTAGCCATGTATGGAACCAGATATCCTGATATTAAACCGAGTTATCACAAATATGAATTCATTTTTCAATATATGAAACCAATGTATCAATTTATGAAACCAAAGTAGAAATATATAAGTTGGTTATCACATTATATGATACCAATTCTTCAATATATTGTACCAAAGAAGCCATATATAGAACTAGATGTCCTGATATGAAACCGAATTTTCAATATATTAATTCATTTTTACAATTTATGAAAACAATTTATATCAATGTACGGAACTAAAGTAGCAATATATGACTTGATTATCACTTTATAGGATACCAGTTCTTCAATATATGGTACCAAAGTAGCCATGTATGGAACCAGATGCCCTTATATGAAACCGAATTATTTTTACAATATATGAAACCATTATATTAATGTAAGGAACCAAAGAAGCAGTATATAAGTTGATGTTACATTTCATGACATCGTCGGATACCCACGATTGATAAACATGTTACATAACATGCTGTTAATGGTTCGGCCGTGGGTATCCGACGATGATTCTATGATAGCAATTTCCATTATATGGAACCACTGCGTTAAGTGGACGGTTGGCAAATTGGTAGATTTTGTTTATTTATATCGTTAAAAGATGATAAATACAATATGATAAATGTTTAACACCCTTATAGTGTGGACTTGACCACTGCGTCACTAAATAATTATCTTAAACGTACTCAACACATTTACCTATGTATCTGATATAAATAATAAACACAAAAAATATTGTTTGAAAATTTTCGTAATATTTGTGGGAAATCACTGACCCGCGAATTGCGTAGCTCATCTACACAAACGCTATCACTTTAACCTTTAAGGTACAAACCGGTTTCAAACAACATTAGAACAGAAAAGGTCCTCTATCGGAAATGATGAAGGGATTTATAATTTATTATCTCTCAATAATAGATACTTCTTAATGACGAATCTCATTTTGATATAATTTAATTGAATATTCGGCCAAAATAACCAAATAAGTAGAAACAGCTTTGTAAACGGTAAACGCTTTTTGTCAACCGACTGAATTTCCTTATAAACACTTATATTATGACACTTTCCGACTTTAATATTGATGTGTTTTATCATGATAACCTTGCATCACACATAAACTTGGTCAGTAAAATTTCTGCGGACGTACATAATGCTTTTTAATCATAGAAAGTAAGGTGCCTAAGCCCTCGCTTTTCAAACTAGGTACGTTGTAATGCGCGTAGCAAGTAGATTCACTGATATTTGTGTGTCCATGTGAGTGAGAAAAAGTAATCAACCATTTGGTTAGATAGAGGATAGGGAAATCCCAACGCCAAGGCCCGTTACCTATGGAAAATGAGAAAATTAAAAAAGTTCTCTGAAAGTGATTTTTTCTTTTTAATATATCCTTTAAATAACACTAATTATCTTTAAAACTTCATTAAATGCCGTTTTTTATTGTTAAAATAACATTCAATAATATTAAATTTTTTGGCCGTCAGGCCGCTGGGCGCCAGGCCGCCAACTTCACAAAAATGAGAACATAAAAAAGTTCTCTGAAAGTGATTTTTTTTTTTTATATATCCTTTAAATAACACTAATTATCTTTAAAGCTTCATTAAATGCCGTTTTAGTGTTAAAATAACATTTCTACAACATTAAAATTTTTGGCCGCCAGGCCGCTGGGCCGCCAACTTCACAAAAATGACAAAATAAAAAAGCTTTCTCAGAAAGTGATTATTTTTTTTATATATCTTTTAAATAACAATAATTATCTTTAAAACTTCATTAAATGTCGTTTTATTGTTAAAATAACATTTCAACAACATTAAAAATTTTGGCTGTCAGGCCGCTGGGCTGCCAGGCCGCCAACTTCACAAAAATGAGAAAATAAAAAGTTCTCTGAAAGTGATTTTTTTCTTTTTATATATCCTTTAAATAACAATGATTATCTTTTTAAAAACTTTCATTAAATGCCGTTTTATTTTGTTAAAAAATAACATTTCTACAACACTAAAATTTTTGGCCAACTTCACAAAAATGTGAAAATAAAAAAGTTATCTGAAAGTGATTTTTTCTTTTTATATATCCCTTAAATAACAATAATTATCTCTAAAACTTCATTAAATGCCGTTTTATTGTTAAAATAACATTTCTACAACATTAAAAGTTTGGCCGCCAGGCCGCTGGGCCGCCAACTTCACGCCGCCAGGCCGCCGGGCCCGCTGGGCCGCCAACTTCACGCCGCCAGGGCCGCTGGGCCGCTGGGCTGCCAACTTCCACGCCGCCAGGCCGCCAGGCCGCTTGGGCGGCCAACTTCACACATCTACAAAATTTCTTGATAACAGTAATTTGGAACCCCTTTTAGCCTAGTAATTTTCATTGCTTAGCACCTTTTCCTTTCTATTTGCTTTTGTACACAAATAATTATATGTCTTAATATGGTGTCAATGCCTTAATTTCCAGTAAAATGTGATATATTTACAAAACATTTTCACCGAGAAAATAAATGTATATTCCTATTTTAAAAAACTTGTTTAAAAAAGAAAAAAGAAAGATATTCCGATACCTTCAAGAAAATAAGTTTATCAGTTTTGTTATTATTTCACGACATGTACATTATGAATATTTATCTCGTCAAATTCTTATCTATTAGATTTTTTTGTACGACATTTATCTAAATGTATCACAGATTCATTGTATGTTGTTATTTCGCCACAAATTTTTGGTATTGTTATTGCAACGAACAAAATGTGTGTTTAAATTTGAAAAGTTTAATATTAGCATACGGAACTAGAATTTATTTTATAAAATTTTAGTCAATAGATGTCAGTTTTGAGTGTTAATGTTAAATAATGCACTGTTCGGGTAATATAATCATTTATGGTCAGGTAGGTCGAGTGATTATTTACAAAAGACTTGAAACGATTAACCATGCATTATGTAATGAATACAGAATGAGTTTTTCTTCAAAGGTAAAAGTGTCCTCCTTAGAAAGTTTGCTTGGATAAGCAACAAAATTGTCCAAGGTGAAGCCGAGATAAATTGTTGTGTGTCCATAAGAGAATTTTTAAAAATGATTTCAACGATAAAATAGCGAATAATAAAAAAATCTCTAAGAATGCCTTTAAACGAAAAAAAAAATGTTGCAGGTATCGGTTTTGGTTGAGTCTGTTCATGGACGCTACCTAGACCGTTTTAATCAGTATTCGACATTTAACATTTGGAATTTGATAAGCCATGCATTATAGTGCTACAACAGTAACTTTGCTTAACTTAATTTTTTTTGGTAAGGATTTCATCTATTTATGAAGTGCAAGCATATTCATACAAAGAAAAATAAAATTTTCAATAAAGAATAGTTTTTAAAAAATAATATACGTTATCATTATCTGTTTTAAAGTTTACTTTTTTGTTTGTGTATAATATTCATCATATACTTATGCCGAGCAAAAGCCCCTCTTTGATTTGATACAAATGTTAAACACAATGTTGAAAGAAAGAGGAAATAAATAAAAACGAAAATAAATCTGTATAGTTTCCAAAATTTTTACAGGTGCATTTTAAAGACAATTCAGTTGGAAAGCAACGCATGAAAATATGCAAACATATTGTGGACTTTTAAATTCAAAAACGTCGCCATGATAAAATAAAAAAATATACGTCCCTGGGTGGGCTTGAACCACCAAAAACCTTTCGGTTAACAGCCGAACGCGCTAAACCGATTGCGCCACAGAGACGATTTGACCATTGCATAGCATGCGTTTATTGATATATTGTTGTGCGCATATTGTTAAATAAAACATTTCATTACCTTAATTAAGCGGTCCGAGAACATGTCCACGTAATGCTAATGGTAATAATAAACGTGCAGTTATTTTTTTGATACAAATGTATATAGAAAGTACACCACACGTCGTGTTTTTGGTGAACGTTTTTCCCTAGTTATAATATAATTGCCTTTTCATTAAAGCTAGCTTCCAATCAACAGATCTTTTCATTAATTGTATCCTTTATTTTCTTTGTTAATTAAATGACATTCATTATGCAAAACTGAACATTCGCTTATTGGTCTTGATTACATATACTTTTTTAGAATTAATAGATTATAATAAACACATGTTAATACATGTAATTTAATTATATCTAAGATAATGAATGGAAAAACAATATAGAATAATATAGCATTGATATTAACTAGTAAAAGTCCAAATTTAAAAGCCGAATTATAAAACTGATTGAACACAAATTTGATCACAAATAGCTGGTATGAAATAGTATGTAACTTCCAAGATTCTTTAAGCCATCTATCTAAATACATTGATATTATTCTGCGTGTAATTGTCACTTTTTTGTGAACATATAACGCTTACATAACATAGTGTAAGGTAATAATTCTTTATGCTTATTATAATCACATTTTAATGTAAAATGTAAATGTGACACAGTAAAATATTGCAATGACTTTGATCAATGTAAGATATTCATCTGTTTCCCCGACAACTTTTCTACTAATTTAGAATGTTTTTCTTATTTCGTGCATAAATATATATATTCAACGACTTTAATAAATAGAGGATATTTGTTTGTTTGTGTGTATGATGAAATTTTATTTCATCGAGTGGGCTTTAAATACAGTATTATCACGACTAGCGTAGTCACGAGTGAGAATACTGTTTTTAAAATTCACGAGATGAAACAAAATAACATCTTATACAAATGTTCGTGAAGTTGGCAGCCTAGCAGCCCAGCAGCCTGAAGTTGGCAGCCTAGCAGCCTAGCAGCCTGGCAGCCTAGCAGCCTAGAGCAGCCTGGCAGCCTGGCAGCCTAAAGAAAACTAAGAATAGTACAAACATGAAATCGTCGGATATGAATCGGAAGCACATACTTAGACCATTGCACGTCTTATATCAGTATCGCGATCTTTATTTTTTTAAATATTGAACTTTGTTTTTTTTTTATTTTGACGCTTCGAAATTTGTGAAGTTAGCAGCCTAGCAGCCTAGCAGCCTAGCAGCCTGGAAGCCTTGCAGCCTAAAGAAAACTTAGGACAATACAAACATGTAAACCGTCGGAAATGAGTCGGTAGCACATACTTAGACTATTCTACGTCTTTTTTCAGTATCGCGAACTTTATTTTTTTTTAATATTGAACTTTGTTTTTTTGACTCTTCGAAATTTGTGAAGTTAGCAGCCTGGCAGCCTAGCAGCCTAGCAGCCTAAAGAAAACAAAGGATAATACAAACATGAAAACCGTCGGAAATTAGTCGGTAGCACATACTTAGACTATTCCACGTCTTTTTTCAGTATCGCGGCTATTGATCAAATGGGTATTGTTCTTAAGTTCAGATAATCTTTATGTTCATTAATGTGTTCGTTTAAACATATGCATTGTATATCTCTTTACATTTCAACCGATTTATCTTTACAGACCTAAGATAAATATGCGTTGAACATCGTCAACTTCATTATAAACATATACATACAAAATAGCATATCATAAATAAGTCACATGACGTCGCTTATTGTCCATAGAAAGCGACATTATTAGCCGTGAAAATGTTAAGATTAAAACTACTTTCTACGTTATTTGAAAATAGAGGATATTGAATGAGTGTAAGTTCAATACTGAATTTACTGCACGAGTTGAATAAATTATATTATGCGAGCCTCTGGCGAGCATAATATTATTTTATTCATCGAGTGCAATAAATTCAGTAATGAACTTACACGAATTTAATATTCTGTTTATCACATACCCAAAATAAAGACCGTTTAAAGTGAAATAAGAGTCATTTTTCATTGACGCGCCTATAGTTTAACGCTACTATTTAGCGCGTCTTTACATTATATTTGTATAACGCTTATAACGTCACGTCAAAATATATGCACGGCCGTGCAATACCATATTTACTGAGTCGCAAAATCGGCACGGGTGTGTGATAAACATGTTTAATCCCGCAAATTTCGAAGCGTCAGAATGAAAAATAAAATAAAATTCAATATTTAAAAAAATAAAGATCGCGATACTGAAATAAAACGTGGAATGATCTAAGTAGGTGCTACCGACTCATTTCGTTTGTATTATCCTTAGTTTTCTTTAGGCTGCTAGGCTGCCAGGCTGCTAGGCTGCTAACTTCACAAATTTCGAAGAGTAAAAAAAAACAAAGTTCAATATTAAAAAAAAGATAAAGTTCGCGATACTTAAAAAAGACTTGGAATAGTCTAAGTATGTGCTTCCGACTCATTTCCGACGGTTTACATGTTTGTATTGTCCTAAGTTTTCTTTAGGCTGCTAGGCTGCAAGGTCGCCAGGCTGCTAGGCTGCTAGGCTGCTAACTTCACAAATTTCGAAGTGTCAAAAAAGACAAAAAAAAAAAGTTCAATATTTAAAATAATAAAGTTCGCGATACTGAAAAAAGACGTGGAATAGTCTAAGTATGTGCTACCGACTCATTTCCGACGGTTTACATGTTTGTATTGCCCTTTGTTTTCTTTAGGCTATTAGGCTGCCAGGCTGCTAGGCTGCCAGGCTGCTAGGCTGCTAACTTCACAAATTTCGAAGTGTCAAAAAAACAACAACAAAAAACAAAGTTCAATATTTAAAAAAATAAAAAAAAGTTCGCGATACTGAAAAAAAGACGTGGAATAGTCTAAGTATGTGCTACCGACTCATTTCCGACGGTTTACATGTTTGTATTTTCCTTAGTTATCTTTAGGCTGCTAGGCTGCCAGGCTGCTAGGCTGCTAACTTCACAAATTTCGAAGGGTAAAAAAAAACAAAAAAACAACAAACAAAGTTCAATATTTAAAAAAATAAAGTTCGCAATACTGAAAAAAGACGTGGAATAGTCTAAGTATGTGCTATCGACTCATTTCCGACGGTTACATGTTTGTATTTTCCTTAGTTTTCTTTAGGCTGCCAGACTGCTAGGCTGCTAACTTCACAAATTTCGAAGCGTCAAAATAAAAAAAAACAAAGTTCAATATTTAAAAAAATAAAGATCGCGATACTGAAATAATACGTGCAATGGTCTAAGTATGTGCTTCCGATTCATATCCGACGATTTCATGTTTGCACTATTCTTAGTTTACTTTAGGCTGCTAGGCTGCCAGGCTGCTAGGCTGCTAGGCTGCCAACTTCAGGCTGCTGGGCTGCTAGGCTGCTAGGCTGCCAACTTCACGAACATCTTATTATGTTACAACAAACAAAATTTTTTTTTTTATTTTATGCTTAAAAATTTCCTTTGATTTTAACTTTAATATTATAATCTGTTTTCCCCGCTGGTAGCCTCTATTATGTACATGTATAAGTCGAATTTCTCATAAAACACAAGACGTCTTGGGCTGATAAATAAGTTCGATAATCAACGTTAAATGGCAGTGATATTATTCATTTTATTAAAAGATATGAATGATCGCGTGTTTTAATAATAAAAACAAACAATTCTAGCAGGAGAAAAAGTCCAACCATCCATCCATATTTCTGTTTCTTACTGCGAATTTATATTAGACCTGGCTCTGTTAAATGTAAGCGGCCGCCATTTTTAAAAGTTGTGTATTTCACGGGAGTTTGATTCAGAGGGATATCTGGATTTGTGAGTCATACACCTTTTTAAAAGAAAGGGAACTTATTTGAGGATTGTAACAGACAATATATAAATGCTGACAGATGTGTTAACATTCTAAAAGCAAAAAGGAAATTGGAAACTTTGAATTGTTGAAAGTCTACCTTACGAACGCTGGGTTGTTTACTTTTTCTTCGGGCTGATGGCTGCCATTGCTTTTCAAGTTTTCATAAAGCATACGACAGTTATTGCTTGTAGGATACTAAAATATGCCCAAATGTCATCAAGAGCAGTTTTGTATGTGGAAGGAATGTATTTTTCAGACTGTAAAAATGAAACAAAAAAAATAAGAGACGATGTTTGGTGATTGGTAATTTGGATGAATAGAAGTAAGTTTTCTTCTTTTTATTACTTTTGACATTTAAGTTATTTATCAATTTCAGCTTTGCTTTTCTCTAAACAGCCTGACATTGTCAAAATTGTCAGCAAAAATAAAATTGAGGTACCACATGGGGAAAATCTTAAAAAAGTAGTTTCGTCATTGAAAAGTGTGAAATCATATTTTGATAATTTTCACTGTGAAATTATCAAATATAATGTTCACGGATAAATCAGTAATCCACTGAAAAGCATAAAATAAACCGTTTTAATTTGTATCGTCATAAGAATAATTTAGAAGTAATTGTTCAGAAATGTAATAAATTTTGTGAGTAAAAATTCGCAAAATAGATTAAGACGACAAAGTAACTTCTTTTCCTTTATTCTATGTTTCAATCGTTAATATTTACAAAAGTGTCGAATTTAATAATTAAATAAATACTGCACTGTAACACCGCACTTTGGGGTCCAACGCACTTTGGGGTCCGACCCCAAAGTGCGTTAAACTTCGCACCGCACTTTGGGGTCCAACGCACTTTGGGGTCAAAATCGAGAAATTGACCCCAAAGTGCGTTAATATGCTACATATCAACGCACTTTGGGTTCCAGAGGTCTAAAGGTGTCATCTGAGTTCTGCTTAAATACTGAGTTCTGACTTATTTTCGATCTGTGGTTTCGGCCGACCCTTTTTGGCCCATTTTTTAAATTACATGTATTTTATATAATTATTGTTTTTTATTATTATATACTATTCTATTAGTGTCTATTTGGAAAGGGCTGTTAATTGGTGATCA